TATATTTAGATGACATTGCTTTTGTGGGTTTAATCGATATGCAGGCAGATGCCACTGTCTTGAAAGCTAGGAACGCAAGGAAAATGCAACACTGGAAGACAGCGGCCGGGCCTGACCTCCAAGGTGTTAGAGGATTAAAATTTGTTGATTGGGTCATCACGCCTGTAACGTGGCGAGATGACAATGGAGATACGGGAACCATTTTTCCGCTAATTGCTGAGGTTTCCATGACCTTATGGGGGAGAGGTGTGCTCTCACAAATGCAAGCAGTCCTTACTACGGATCATAAATCTCCACAAGCCAACAGCTTTAATGGAGAGCCTACAAGTAAGATTCATCCCCAATTCTAGGAGCCACTGCTCACCTCACACAAAAGCCAGGCCCAATCCCCACTGAATGGGAAAAAACAGGAAACATCTGGGTAGGGCAATGGCCAATATTACAACCCAAACTTGGCATCCTTAGAGAACTGGTACAGGAACAATTAGAAAAAGAACACAAAGAGCCCTCCACTAGCCCTCATAACACACCCATTTTTGTGATACCAAAGAAACAGGGAAAATATAGGCTACTACAGGATTTGAGAGCCATCAACAAAATCATAAAAAAGATGGGAACATTCCAGGCTGGCATTCCCCATCCAGGGGCCATTCCTAATGGATACCATATAGTTACCATTGATATCAAAGATTGCTTCTTTTCCATTCCCATCACGGAGGAGGATAAGGCCTACTTCGCCTTTACTGTATGGGAGGCCAATTTCCAGCTCCCCGCAAAAAGATTTCAGTGGACAGTACTCCACAAGGCATGAAAAATAGCCCTGCCATTTGCCAAAGATACGTTTCTCATGTGACCAGCACACTTAAAGATCAGTGCTTGGTCATACATTATGTGGATGATATCTTACTTGCTCACGACAATGCAGCAACTCTGAAGGCCTAAGTGAGACAGTAAGAAATTTACAATTCCTGGGTTTGTCTGTTGTCACGGAAAAGGTATAACATTTTCCTCCCATTCAATTCCTAGGTTATCAAACCTCTTCGCATGTATCTCCAATGGGGCCAACCTAAAAGTCAAGCATAAATACTCACTGAATGAATTTCAGCAACTATGCAGCCAAATCAGTTGGCTGAAGCCCTTCCTTCCCCAAACACCTGCAGAGCTTAGACCACTATTGGATTTACTAAGGGGAATAGCCCTTTCTCAAAAATCACATTGACATCAGCAGCCAAATCCACTGTAGAAAAGATCAACACACAGTTGTCAAATTTAAAAACCCTGGCCGGCGCTGCGGCTCAATAGGCTAATCTCCTCCGCCTTGCGGCACTGGCACACTGGCTTCTAGTCCCGGGTCGGGGACCCGGATTCTGTCCTGGTTGCTCCTCTTCCAGGACAGCTCTCAACTGTAGCCCGGGAGTGCAGTGGAGGATGGCCCAAGTCCTTGGGCCCTGCACCCACATGGGAGACCAGGAGAAGCACCTGGCTCCTGGCTTTGGATCAGTGCGGTGCGCCAGCCACGGCAGCCACTGGAGGGTGAACCAACGGTAAAGGAAGACCTTTCTCTCTCTCTCTCTCTCACTGTCCACTCTGCCTGACCAAAAAAAAAAAAAATAAAAAAAAAAAATAAAAACCTTTAGATATGACCCTCGAGTGCCTCTATTTGCCATAACCCTATCTACCCTCAAGGTCCCCTTAGGAGTTATTTGACAACAATACGGACCACTTTTTTGGGCTCACATAGCCTGGAGCAAGTGTCGAAAAATAGTTAACAAAGTAGATGCCATCCTTATGATGGGACTTAAATTAAGATATTATGCCAATAAGATATTTAACACAGAGCAAGACATAGTGGTCCTACCTCTATCACAATTAGAACTATCCACACTGATGCAGAACAGCACGCTCTTTCAAACTTTAATGATACATTTCCCAGGACAGGTTGACAATCACCTGCAAGTGGACAGACTACCCCAGATGTTACAAACCTTAGAAATAGACTATCCAAAACATGCTTTCCCTGCTAATCAACATATTCCCATGGCACCGTGTGCGTTTATGGATGCCAACAAATCACTGTTTGGAATAGTGATCTACTCCTCAACAGAAAAGATCCATGTAGAACCCCACGGGGGATCAGCACAGTTGGGAGAAATAAGGGAATAGTCAAGGATCTACTCCTTAGCCAGGATGGGCCAGTAAATATATTTTCAGATAGCATATACTCAGTACAGGTAGCAAAGACGACCCATTTTGCGGTCTTTATCCCGACCAATAAACCAACTGATCAAATGCTCACAACACCTAAAGAGCTAACTGAGAATAGAAAACACCCACGGTATATCTCACACATAAGATCACATACTGGGTTACCTGGCTTTATTTTCCAAGGCAACGAAAAGGTTGATCGTCTTATCTCCTGCAACACGGCTTCCTTTGGACACCTACAACAAGCCTGTACTCTACACCAAAAATTTCATATGTCAGCAAACAACATAAAATCACTTTTCCTGGAGCTAACAATGAGCCAATGCAAACACCTAGTGCACTCTTGCAAGAATTGTGCCCGCCTCGCCCCGTCAGGCCCACTGCAACAAGCAGGAGTGAACCCGTGAGGCCTTGCTCCTAAGAAGCTCTGGCAAGTGGAAGTCACCCACATTAACTCCTTTGGTAAACTTAAGTTTGTCCATGTGATGGTAGATACTTATTCAAAGGCTGCATTTGCAACAGCCCAATCCAGAGAAAAGGCTAGAAAAGTGATAAAGGCGGTTAAGTCAGCCATGCTGGTCCTTGGTGTCCCCTGGACCATAAGACAGATAACAGGCCAGCGTATGCATCATAGGAATTTAATTCCTTCCTGAGGTCCTGGAACATACAGTCTGCCACAGGTATTCCATACAACCCACAGGGACAGGCAATCACTGAAAGAACTCATAAGGTAATTAAAGATCTCCTTCAAATACAGAAAAACAATCATATGCCCTCAGACCCACAGCTTGCTTTGACTGAGGTCCTTTTCACTATCAATTTTCTTACTTTTCATTCCCAAGGGATCAGCCCAGCTTATAAATACTGAGGATCCTTTCCATCCCAGACCCCGGCCCCTATGGTTAGGGGGAAATACCCCTGACAGGAGAATGGAAGAGACCACACCCTCTGCTATCCAAGGGCCGAGGATATGCTTGTGTCTTTCCAGAGAATGCGGCACAGCCCATTTGGGTACCAGCCAGAAACATCCAGCCTGCAACTGACAGCCAACCAGAACCAGCTGAACAAGACTGAGAATTGCCTTGTTAGCAGACACATCTGCTACCGATTGTCAAGCTGCTGCCCTATCATCTTACCCTGAGGAACTGCCCATAGCCACATCCGCTACTGCTTTATACCCCCCTAGCTCTGGTCAGCCACTCGAACGGCCCACAGCCTGTGTGTGGTCACGCCATTCCTGATTACCATTGTTCCTCATTCCTACCCCATCTGAGCAAGCACACCAGAGGTCTCCCATTTTGAGGGTTGATTAGTCAAGGACGGGTAAGATCCCCTGGGGCACAGCCATGTACACAGACCAAATGGAAATGGGGTCAACAATGGTATGGCCATTGCTCAAAAATAAACGAAAGGGAGAAATGTGGTGGAATGAGAAGGCCATGCCAAGGTGGCCGTTGGCAAGTGAATGTCAGTTACTCTAGTATGGCTTCGGAAACCCCTTGGGAAACCACCTGGCAATGGAGCCTGCCTGGCAACAGGCTGTGATTGGTTAGGGCATAAATCGCCCCTTGACTGGATTGGCTACTTCAGCTATATAAGCTGCTGTACCAACTGAAATAAACAAGTCTGCAGGCTGCTCGCCTCTGGCCCGCTTTCACCTGACTCCCAGGGTCTGTGTGGTGACTCCGCGCCTCTTGCCCCCACCACGCTCCTCCTCTCAGAATGAATCCACAGCAACAACCATACTTCCATTTTTACCTTGAATTTCTTTCACCATAATTCTTGCATGTTGCTTTTTATATTTCTGATTTCTGAACTGTATGTACTGCCTATTCAAAAAATTAGACTGTTTCTAATAAACAATCATAATATCTTCAGAGCAATAAGAAATACATGATAACCATAAAATAAGAACAGAACACCTATAGAAAAGAATATTTAGGTGTTGGCATTGTGGCACAATGGATTAGGTCACTGCTAGGGACTCCCTTGGCAATTCCACATCTGCAACTGAGTCCTGCCTCCCCCTCAGATTCAGCTTCCTGCCAATCAGTGTGCACCCTCAGAGGTAGCAGGATGTGGTTCCTGCCACCCCTGTGGGAGACTCAGATGAAGTTTCTGGCTCCTGGCCTTGGTTTCACCAGTCCCAGCTGTTTCAGGCATTTCGGGAGGGAACCAGCAGATGCAAAAATCTCTTTCCCTCTCTGTTGTTCTGCCTTCCGAATAAATAAAAGTAAGTATACTTTAAAATATATTTAGACAACTAGAATTTTTGAAAATTAAAACACAGAATTAAAATGGTGATACCAGCCATGAGAAGCTCAATAGAAGGACTAGAAACAAAATTGACAAAGTTTCCCAGAAAGAAGAGTAGCAAAGAAATAGAAAATAGTGGAGAAAAGTGGAGAACCAGCATCTGATAAACAAAATTTCAAAAATAGGAATACAGAAAATATTTGTATATGAGGAGGAAGTTTAGAAGGAAAATGGAGAAATATTTCAAAACCCCATTCAAAAGTGATTTATAACCAGGAATCTTATCTGTGGCCAAAAGATCTAAACAGTGTGATAATCAAATTTTCATTCACAGTTCACCTCTCCAATGTCTTACATCTGGTCTTGCAAGTTAACACCCACGTGTTGCTCATTCTTGACAAAAAGATCAAAATTTGTTTTAGGAGCACCAGGGTCTACAGTCTGGCTACTTCCTGGCCCATCTGACTGCCCTGAGATTCTGCTGACAGATCAGAGATATCTATTTCTAGAATCAATCCCCACACCCTGGGACTCCTCACCTCTGAAGCCAGGGCTGGGGGCTGCTTGGATGAGGTGCAATTAGCTGGCATGGCCACACTGGGTCTCATTCCTTGTTCTCTCAGGGGCTGAGAGCTTAGTGCTCATCTATAAAGTCAAGCAAAACTGCTGGGAAGAGGCAGCTGGACTCCAAAGGAAGATCTGGCCCAGGCCTCTCCAAGAGACATCAAAGACACCTGGAAAGACAATAGCACATAGTCAGTCATTCAACATTACCACATAATCCCTGCCTGGGCACACTAAGATTCAAGTCCCTGGGATAGAAGGTACAAAGCAGTAGTTCTCAAACTCAAACTATCCATTCGAATCACCTAAAGGGGTTGTTAAAACAGATAAAAACTCTCAACCTCACCCCCTACACTTTCTGATTCAGTATTTCAAAGACTTGGCTCAAGAATTTGCATTTCTAAGGCCCAGGTGATCTTGAAACTGTTGGTCCAGGGACCATATTTTGAGAGAGAGGACTGAGGAGAATAGAGTTCAACAAAATCTGCGATAGCCATTAGTCATGGGAAAAACCATGGGAGTCGGAGGAACATTACTGCAGAACTGAACACCAGCTCAGTAATTTTCAGCTATGAAAATATGAACAAGTTTCTTCAGTATCAGTTTTAAAACTGAGGATGAAAATGCCTATCTCATAGCCATGAAAATCAAATGAGATGATGGTTGTAAAGTGCTAACCACCTCACTGGCACAGGAGAATCATGCAATAAATATTAGCCTTTACCATATTCTTATGAAGTAAATTTATAAAAAATTAAAAAGCATGTAATCAAACAGATAAAATAAGCATACCAAACAACTGTTATTTACATGTCACAGAAGTGGTATTTGTGCACAAGACATTCACTGCAAAAATGGTGCTGTTTCATCCACCTGAAACAAAACATCACACTAGTCAGTCAGTAGACACATCCTAATAGGACTGAACAGTTAGATATCTGTATTTTTTAAATCTCAAAAAAACATTAAAATAAATTTTAGTAGTATATTTTTGTGTGCCATTGAGGTGGGCTGGGAGGAATGTTACACCTAAAATTCAGCAACTATAAAAGTAAAGGGCAGTTATCTCTAGACGATACTCCCTAATAATGTTACAATACACCATAAAAATCAACATGAAGTTATATGCATAATTTTTAATTATGTGACAACAGGCTATTTCTAATTAAAAAATATAGGAGTGGGCATTTGGTGCAGCAATTAAATTGCCACTTGGTACACCTGCATCCCATATCAGAGTGTCTGGGTTGGAGTCGCAGCCCTGCTCCCAATTCCAGATTCAACTAATGAGCACTCCAGGAGGCAGCAGGTGATGGCTCAAGGACTTGGGTCCCTGCAACCCACCTGAGAGCTCTGGGGCTCCCAGCTCCCAGCTGCAGGCATTTGGAAAGAGAACCAGCAGATGAGAGGGTTTTGTTTTTTGTTTTTTTTTTTTTTCTCTGTCTTCTCCCTTTCTGCCTCTCAGATAAAACTAATGAATAATTTGAAAATTTTTTAAATCTAGCAATCACTAGGAAAAAAAAGAGCAGGAAAAAAATCTGGACAAGAAAATGAAAATTCACAGAATAGGAAACAAGTGACAATTAACCTAAAAGATTCCAACTTCACTAACAGCAAAATATATTAGATCAACTAAACCTCACTGCCTCTTAGAACTGTAAAAACTAAAAATGTAGTTGGCAGCCAGGAATTCAAATGTTAGAAAACATCTGGGAAAATGAGCTGCTTTATAAATTGTTGACAGAAGCCTCAATTGTTATATTATCTTTTGAGCTATTTAGTCAGGTCTATTATTTAACAATACACATAATTGTACCTAATAATATACTTTCAAAAATATAAAGCAGAAACGGCCAGAATAAGTGGACATATCACTTAGCCAATGTATTCTACCTTCTTCTGTAATTCAGCAGACAAAATAATCCAAAAGGAGCTAATATTAAATATATGCTTAATATTACTAATTAAATTAATAAGTTTAAAGCATTTAAATTTAAATATATGCTTAATATATAACATACAACAAGGACATACATTGTTTTTAGGCTATAAAGCCATTTTTTCAACTCAAGTATTAGCTAGAGAAATTAACTGGAACAGAAAATGCACTTTTAATAATGGGTCAAAAAAAAAAAACCTTAACACTTTTTAAAGGACAACTTCAATTTGGACAATAAAAAATGCTACACACCAAAGCTTTTCAATCTTTATATTTAAAAAAAAAAAAAACTGAAAACTAAACAGCTTAATTTTCAACTCAGGTTAGAAAACTAGCTGAATACAAATCCCACAGACTCCCCATTACTGACCCTACAGGCCTCATTCATTGACCACCGAATCCCATGACTAACCCTCCACCCCCAAATCCCAACACCTCATCCCTGAAAGCCCCTCACTGTCAAGAGAAAACGCCTGTCACAAACATTAACGGCTGCCAGCCTCTGCCAGCATTTAACTCAGGGACCACCATCACTAACTCCAAGACACCTCTCCCCCACTCCATTACAGACCCCACAGAATCCCTAGTCGCGACCAACCAAAATCGTCTCAGAGACCTCTTGACGTTAAAATATGGAAATGCGTACTCTACTCGGTAGCAGCGAAAAAGCCTTTGAGAACCACTTCCTTTCACGGTCCGCCTTCCAATACCGCCCCTTCCGGCCAGTGGTACCACGCATGCGCGGAATTCCCTTTGCGGTCACGTGGTGCCAACAATCACTATGGCGTAGAAGCGTCGTTAAGAGACATTGTCCCGTTTCCGTAAGGGGCGCCATTGGGTAGAGAACGTGGCGGCGCCCGAACGGAGCCTCTGCGTGTGGGCCGCCATCTTGGAGTTGTATCCGTTCCGTAGAGCGGAAGAACTGAACTCAACAGGATTCACGGAGGGGCAGGGATTGTCATATAGAACGCGGACATGCAGGGAGGGGCACGGTGCTGGAGATAGGATCTGGAGCTCTATTTTATATCTAGGACCGTCAGTCACCAGTTTGGAGCCGGCGCTTTGCGGGAAACAATTATCCGCTGGGAGAAACCACAGGGAAACGCGGCCGGGGGTCGAGGGGGGTTGGAGACAAAGGAAGAAATCGGGGTGGTACAATCCACTTTGAGGAAAACAGGATGGGCAAAACCCCAGCAAGACTAAGACACGCTGGAATGGGCAGTACGCAGCTGAGAGTGTGCTGTAGCCTCTAACGGGAGAAACTACCTTGGAAGATAGGGTGGAAAGCCGCAAAGGGGCGACACGTCAAGGTACCCCTTACTGAAGGGTTGGTGGAGGGGCTACAAGCTTGAATCCCCATCAGTCTCCATTAGCCTCCTCCCTATTGCAAGTTAAAAACTACGTAGGCAGCAATAATTTTAAAAATAACTAAATGGTGTTTCATATGGGCCAGGTGTGGCTAAAAGCACCTAAAGAAAACTTCGATATTTCAACTTACTTATAATTAAAAGTATAAACAATGTCCTTACTACGTAAATGACGCCTTCAGTCCATTCTCTCATTCTTCCCTCAGCTTCTATGTGGAAGCTGTGAAGCAGGTAACATTCCCCTTGCCTCTGCCCACACCACACTTAGTTGTCAAGAGTTCTTTCATCTCTCCTAAACATTCTGCAAAATCCAACCTAAATACTGTTTCTGCCAGGAGCTCCAGCCTGACGGTGGTGAGAGGTTGTGAGAGCTCTTGAAAACATTCAGTCCCCTCCAGGCCAGGGAATTCCCTCTCTGGGTCTCAGCTTAACAACAAAACCCGTTAGAAGGCCAGGCTGCTTGTCCCAGGTTCTTTTTCTTCCTCCAAAGTATACTCTGAGGAAAAATCTGTGAAATCCATTCTTAAACACACATCTCTAATGGAAGCCAAAGAATTACTGTTAATTCTGTCGGTAGTGTGACTTTTGTTATAAAAGGGATGACCTCTTTTATTGATTCATGTGAAAATACTTATGGCCAGAATATTACTAACTGTAAAGACTCCATTGAGTGGGGCATATGAATGAAACAAGAATAACTAAATGTTGAAGAGTAGATGGAGTTCATTGTAATGTTCTCTCTTTACTATTTCTATGAAAATTTCATATAAAAATTCAACTTACAAACTCCACAATCAAAAAATTACAAAAAACAAAACAGGTGGAGAAAGCATTTGAGTCAATTGAAGAAAATAGTTCCTATTACCAAGACCTAGCGGATATGGGTTTGGTTTCCCATGCTCTGAAGATAAACAGACCCTCTTCCTGGACCAGGTACATAGCAATTTAGATAGCCAAGGCCTCAATCTATGTCAATAGATTGACCTACATTATATATTCATTGTAATTTATTAGCATGTTAAATTACATACCAGCCATCATGACAGGAAACATCAGACATATGGAACAGTAGCTAGATTCTGGGACATCTCCGCCCACTTCCTGGAAAAAAAATAAGTATTTCTCCTGCTTATTAGACTATACCTCCCCTTTCATTCAATGACACATGTAATGTTAAACACAGTTTAGAGACAAGGACATTCCTCTCATATGTAGGTTCCACTCTGTCTGCAGTGTGTATCTACTTTCTCAGTAAAACGCTTGCTGCTTGCTATTAACTGTTCTGCAGCTTGTTCTTCAGTTTCTTTTTGAAGCAAAGTTAAGGACCTGGGTATGAGGCATCCGTCTTCTCCAGCAGCATAGCTGCCAAGATTATACAAAACTTTTAATAATTATAGCAATATGTACTGGAACTTCTGGAAGTTTGTGGAAAATGGAATTAAAAGATAAATATAAAAATTGTCAAATTTCTCAAAATTTGTTCCTTCAAGTTCAAGACACTTTAAAAAAAAGATTTATTTATTTATTTATTTATTTGAAAATCAGAGTTACACAGAGAGAAGGAGAGGCAGAGAGAGAGAGAGAGAGAGGGAGGGAGGGAGGAGTCTTCCATCTGCTGGTTCACTCTCCAATTGACAGTGATGGCCGGAGCTGCACCCATCCGAAGCCAGGAACCAGGAGCTTCTTCCAGATCTCCCATGCAGGTGCAGGGGCCCAAGGACTTGGGCCATCTTCTACTGCTTTCCCAGGCCATAACAGAGAGCTGGATCAGAAGTGGGGCAACTGGGACTCGAACTGGCGCCGTAAGGGATGCCGGCACTGCAGGTGGCAGCTTGACCCACCACACCACAGCACTGGCCCCTCAAGACACTTTTCTAAGTGATGCTACCAGCCATTTGGTCCATGCCTAAATACTGAGGGTTCTAAGAATTCAACCATGTCACTACAGCTTTTTTTTTTTTTTTTTACAGTATGCGCTAAAGAAAAATGGTACTAATTCAAAAGTTTTTGTTTCGAAGAGATTCATTTTATTTATTTGAAAGGCAGAGTTAGAGAGAGGGAGAGATCTTGTGTCTACTGGTTCACTCCCCAAATGGCCACTACAGCTGGGGCCAGGCCAAGCTGAAGCCAGGAACCTAGAACTCCATCAGGGCCTCCCATGTGGGTGCAGGGGCCCAAACACTTGGGCCATCTTCTGCTTTCCCAGGCACATTAGCAGGGAGCTGGATTGGAAGTAGAGCAGCCAGCACTCGAACTAGTGCCCACATGGGATGGCAGCATTAACTCATTAAGCCACATGCTGGCCCCTCTCTAAGAGCAAGAAACAGGGGGCCAATGCCGAAGCTCAGTTTGTTAATGTCCCTGCCTGCAGTGCCAGCATCCCATATGGGCGCCAATTCGAGTGCCAGCTGTCCCACTTCCGATCCTTGCTAATGCACCTGGGAAAGCAGCGGAGAATGGCCAAGTACTTGGGCCTCTGTACCCACATGGGCGACCTGGAAGAAGCTCATGGTTTCTGACCCAGCTCCAGCCCTTGAGGCCATTTGGGTAGTGAACCAGTGGATGGAAGACCTCTCTCTGTGTCATTACCTTTCTCTGTAACTCTTTCAAATAAATAAAAAATAAATGTTTAGAAAAAAGACCAGGAAACAAAAAGCTAAGCAACCAAATCAGAACTGTAAGGTGACTGCTTAATGATTCTCCATCAAATTGCTGATGAAGCATGAGCAGGAGCATTGTCCTGTAGTGAAGGATTCCTTGGCATTTTTCTGTTTATGCTAACTTTCTCAAAATGATCATGATCAGCAAGTGCTATCATTCTTCGGGCTTTCAGACACTTAATCAGAAAATGCCTGAGCACCCCAAAAAACTGTTGCCAACTTGCTCAACTCTCAGATATAACCTTGGAAAAGTAAGTGTGTGTACACAGAAGGTAAAGAGTAGGTTAAGTCAATGTTTCTAAAAGGTTGCAACTTGAAAGCTTGTCAAAAATACATGTGGCACTTCACATAAAGTACTATTTCAGATCAATGGAATCAAAATAACGAGTACTCAAACAATATATTTCACTTTGTGTTTCTATGGGGGTGCAAACTGTTGAAATCCTTACTTAATGCATACTAAACTGATCCTCTGTAAAAAAAAAAAAAAATTATCAATTCCCAACTTGACTCTCACTGGGATTAAACATGACAATAGGTCTGCTCTGATTTCATCATCATTTAAAAAAATCATCTATTATTTTTCACTTTATGTTTCTGTGTGGGAGCAAACTGTTGAAATCCATACTTAATGTATACTAAGCTGATCTTCTGTATATTAAGATAATTGAAAATGAATCTTGATGTGAATGGAAGGGGAGAGGGAGTGGGAAAGGGGAGGGTTGTGGGTGGGAAGGACAGTATGGGGGGGAAGCCATTGTAATCCATAAGTCGTACTTTGGAAATTTATATTCATCAAATAAAAGTTTAAAAAAAATTGGAAAAAAAATCAAAAACAACCTTGGCTTTAGGAAAAATTCCTATTGATTGTGATGCAGTCTGAAGTTATGTTTGCCTTTGTACTTAGTATTTTTCTGAATAACTTAGTGTTAACTACAAGGTGATTCCATCTGCTTTTCCTATCTAGCATTTCCCTGAATGATTCTCCCTCCCTAGTTCACTGTACTCTGTCCCAAGAGCAGACAAAGTGTTTCTTTACATCAGTGATTTTCACTGCCATTCTCTCAACCAGTTAACTCTCAATGTAAATAGAATTACAAGATACTAAAAAGTACTGCTTCCAGACAGCATCAGATAACACCACTCTTGTTCTAGTATCCAGATAGCTACCTGCAGTTGTTTTCCCTGAACTATTTATCTAATTTCCTCATTCTCTGCACTAGATTTAAAGTTCCCTATTGGAAGGGACCATGTCTCCTTAAGTTATTATTGTTTAACCAACTTCTAGCACAGCGTCTAAGATATAGTAAGTTTTCAATAAGTAACTATTAAATAGTGAATGTCAAGGAAAAGGAATTAAAATGGAGATACTGGAATACATCAAGGAGTTAAAACATAGGAAACTAGATAAGGATCATTAGCATATATTTTTTTAAATCTCTGATGGAGTCAGAAGAAAGAAAACAGGTCACAGTAATATGCACTTGTTCTCAATGTAAACTGTAAATGTCTTTCGATTTCTGTGATTCTGCTCAGATGGTGTACTTGGCTGTCTTACCAAAGAGTAAATTTCTACTTATTAAAATCTTGCAATCACTAATTGTTCCTTTTTAAGATCTTGGGGAACTTCATGTCTGTAAACATCTGAAAAATAAAAATCAGATTCCAGGATCAGAAACTCTGAACTCTGATGATTCCCTCTTTTGGAGGCCCTTTTAGCAGAACTAAAATTTCTATTTTTTTTTTTATTTTTTTTAACAGGCAGAGTGGACAGTGAGAGAGACAGAGAGAAAGGTCTTCCTTTGCCGTTGGTTCACCCTC